GCCTTCACATAGTTCCTAGTGATTTATATATGTAAGAATTGGTTCAATAAGTACACAGTACAATAAATGGCCTTTTGACAGGTTTCTTCTACTTATGGTGCTTATGTTATGTAGAATATATCAAAACTTAAGTATATTTTTACCAAGTAATATTTGTTACTTATTCATAGCACTGCATCATTTTATTACCATACTGCTCGTGTATAATAATCTTCATACTGCTCATGAAGTCTAGATCATATTAAGCTTAAATATCTGCTATTTGTTGTTTTTTTTTTTTTTTTTGGCTGTTTGGTTTTTTTAATTTTATTTATTTGTTTGCTTATTTTATGAGACAGGGTTTCTCTGTATTGCTTTGGAGACTGTCCTAGAACTCGCTTTGTAGACCAGGCTGGCCTCAAACTCACAAAGATCCTCCTACCTCTGCCTCCTGAGTGGAGTGCTAGGATTAAATGCCATAAATACCTGTCACTGTTTGTTGTTTTTGACTTCTGACCTTATCTTGGTACCTACTGATATTTCTGCTCCTCTTTGTGTGTTTAATATTTCAAAATCCACATATAAATGAGATTATAATAATATTTTTCTTTCTGCGTCTGGTTCATTTCATGTCAGCTCCAGGCTCATGCTTGTTGTGGCAAGTAATAGTATCTTCTGTTTGTTCCATCTTAGGATAAATAATATCTACAAGTATTTTTGTTCAGAAGCATTTGCAGCATATACTTTTATTTGTTTATTTGGCATGTGACACTTGGGTTGTTTGTGTACCTTGGATTTTCTGAATAATGTTGTAGTAAAGACGAGAACCATTTCTACTCAATTCTGTATGCCTTTATAGTTTCTCCTGGTATTAGACTCGTCCATCTGACATTACCATCTTATCAGTAAAAAGTAATTGAATTTCATTACTCTGTATAATTCAGGCTATGGTGATTCTATTCCTTTTCTGTCTTTATTGCTCTCCCCTTCTTTCCTTACTTCCATCTTCAATTTTTTCTCTTTTCTTTTTTTCCAGGTTAACTACAATATTATTTTATGTGGGCCAATTTGGCTGAAGGGAAAGTTTGTGATAAATGGGGAAAAATATTAAGCAGACTTTGGTATTATAATATTTGCAAAAATATGTATACATCAGCTTATTATATGGAATAACAAAATCAAGGGGTTAGGTGGGAATGTATTATTTCTATTGACTTTTTAAAGTAAAAATTTATGTTATTTATGGCCTTAGATGTTTTAAGACAGGGTTTCACAGTGTAAGCCATTCTGGCCTTGAGCTTTCATCTCTGCCTTTCTTATCTTTCTGAATTCTGGGGAAAATAGGCATGTATCATCATGCTCAGCTATAGTCAAGTTAAAAAAAATTCAAGGTATTTTAATGATGAGATAGTCTTCATTAACTGTTATAATTAAAAATTAAGATGTAGTACACTAACAGAAGACAAATAAGTTCTTTCTGGCCATTTAAGAGCATTTGTCCTCTTGCTAGGTACTTCACACAATTCAAAAGAGGTAGGAAAGAAATCTATTTTAAATGAATTTAAAGCCTACAACAGAAATCATAATTCTGGTTTTATGGAAATGTAAGTAAAATATGACCACTTAACATTAAGAATAGGGGGATGAAGGTGGACCAAAAGGATGATTTTTCTTGTGTCTGAACAGTCTGATTTATCCACTAATGTAATTCTCACATTCATCTATTAAAAGGTATTTCTCATACATAAGAATTATATTTACATCATTCTCACTATAGCCTTCCCATTCCAACTTCTACTCTTCCTATGTTTTCCACCTCTCCCACTCAAATCCATGGTCTCATCTTCTTTATTGTTATATTAGTATACAGAGACAGACAGACAGAAAGACAGACAGACAGACAGACAGACAGACAGACAGACAGACAGACAGAGAATTGACTGAGTCCATCCGGTGCTGTTCACATGTACATATACTTAGCGATTACTACTTTAGATTGAATAATCAACTAAGGGTCATCCTTGGAGAAAAATGTTTCTCACTCTCTCGGCTATCATTAATTGTCTATAGCTCTTTATCTGGTATGCATAGAAATTTATCATAGCCACATTGGCATGTGAGTTGGTGCTATCATTATGTACATATTATTTAGGAAATCATACCATCATGACCTCATGAGTACCGCCTCTTTGTGGTGTCCTGAAGGAGAAGAGTGGGTAATACAATCACTCAGCAGCTCCTCTGGCACCATAGTCTTTCCAGCCCCTCTTTTGTAATGTTCCCTGAGCCTTAGGTAAAATGTTGCAATGATTGGGCACCCGTCATTTATTCTCTGTGTTTTCATTAACTTAGGATCTCTGTAATGCTACTATCTCTGAGTGAAAGGTCCTTTGATGAGTGGTGAGAACTACAGATAGAAATTAGTTTAGGAAAATGGCAATACTAATAGGTTCTCCTCTAGAGAATATGACTCTCCTTCCATGGATAGTTGACTTGGGTTAGATACAGTATCAGGCATGGATTCCTTTCTATTGAACAGTGCTTAAGTCCAATTAGATAGCTATTGGTTACCCCCAAAATAAAAATGTTACTGAAAGATTGAGGATACATTCCAAGGTCAGTCATTTTTGTGATTATAGGCTGTGAAAAATCACCCCCAAATCACTTCCAAAACCTCTGATGAAAAAGAAAAATAGGCATTTTGAAGAGATCATATTTAAAAAGACACTTACAGAAGATGGTAGTAGGGAGAATACTAGCTAGTAGATAGGGTTCACTAAAACATGCACTGTTTTATAGTATCTATGGCAATCATAAATATTTAATGAGTTCTTCATTTTGTAACTGAGCTGAGGAACAGTGGAGAGGGGATGGTAGTGGTGGTCATCTGTGTATTTCAGATACCTAGAAAATCAGCATGACTATCTCTCTATAGGTGAATTGCCCTAAACTAATGAGTATTTGTGTGTGTGTGTGTGTGTGTGTGTGTGTGTGTGTGTGTGTGTATGTGTGTGTGTTGCTCATGGTTTTTTACATTCTAAGCACATGTTCTACCACTGAGCTAAACCTCCAGTCCTGAGAGGAAAAATCAAGGTCAAAGCCTAGCTATAATTCTTCCTAAATAGTTTAAAATTTGGATTTTAGTAATTGCATCCTCCAGTGTCTAGTTTTGAGTTATACCTCTGTTTCTTCTCTCTCTCTCTCTCTCTCTCTCTCTCTCTCTCTCTCTCTCTCTCTCTCTCTCTCTCCCTCTCTCCCTCTCTCTCTCTCTCTCTCTCTCTCTCTCTCTCTCTCTCTCTCTCTCTCCCAGGACTCTCATTTTTCCAGCTTCTTTGTTTTAGATGACCCCCCAGAAGATTTATGTCCTCATATCTAGGAAGAACCTAGGGATTCTGCCTCATTTTGATCATCCGTTTTCATACTTGCAAAAAGAATGATGCCAGTAATATCAGAAGGCCTAGGACCTGATGATTAAGCTGATTCAACAAGCTAGTTCTGCAAAGGCAATTGAGCCATCTGATTACCAGACTAGAAAAGAAAGAAATGCTGTCGATATACTCACCCAGGCTTTTGTGGCCTCCACAGTTCAGCACAGGCATTAGGCAAAGCTGGTTCTCAAGATGATTGCAGTGTGTCTTAAAAGGGAAGGTTGTTGCTTTGGCAAATAAAAGGTTTACACAATCAAAGACAAAGGATTTGACTGGATCCTGTCTTTCCTGCAAGGAGCATATGAGGAAAGAAGAAAGAGAAAGTCCTTTAATGAGAGGGGACAGTGGGCTAGTCAGGAATCCAGCTGCTGCTTCGTGTGGGAATTTGGATTGGTCATGGCAGGCATCAGACCTCCACTCTCCCTTCTATTAAACAAAGGGTGTCGGGGGTGGGGCTGGGTAGTTTCCAAGGGTACAGATATGGATTGGATTGATCTCATAGCAAAGAACAAAAAATTGAATATTTATGAAAGCAAAATTAGCTGGTGATCAGAAGTAGGGAAGAGCATGGCAGAAGGAAATGAAAATCCATCTTATTGAATTCAAACTACAACATAAAGCTGTCAGAAACCAAGCTTTTGAGGATGAGGAGAAGGAACCATGTCCTTTGTCTTCACATTTCCTCCAATCTTGTTCCCTCTTCCCTAACATCTCTCTCTCTCTCTCTCTCTCTCTCTCTCTCTCTCTCTCTCTCTCTCTCTCTCTCTCTCTCTCTCCTCTTACTTTTTGTTTCTGGTAACCATGGTGATGCTTCCTCTCAGCAACCTCCTGTGCAGCTGGCCCTTTTGGTACACTGCAAATTTACTCCATTGACTGGTGCAGGGTTCTAACAATGCTTAACAATTCATTTATTACATTTCTGCCAGGATAATACATGTGAAGCCCTCTACATAGTGACACTGTAAAACAAGGATATTCAATTGTTAATTTCAGTTGCTAACATTGAAGTGGGGGGGGGGGACTAATCATGCCAAACACTGAACTCCCTGTAATGGCCCTCACCCCAGGCACAGCAAAGGTCCACACTCAAGCTGGTTGCCACCTCCTTTTGTATGGAACAAGGATAAAATGACTGCACACAGATATCACATGGCAAGCCTTGTAAGACAAACATTGCCAAGTGGGTAATTATTATAGTTACAAAGCCATTGAATTTTCTGTAGGAAAAAAATACATACATACATACATACATACATACATACATACATACATCCTTAATGAATACTTTATTTGGGACCATAAATAAGCAATGTGCAGTAGTTTTAAAATATTGTATTCATCGTTCAATGACAAAGCCCCTCAAAGAATCTTTAGTATTCCTCATATGGATAATAAAAATTCCCGTAAGTGATCATTTGCATTTGCTTATGCCCAGTTTGTGTAGCTTAACTTGCTTGTAATCCTATATGCCTGAAAACAGAGCTCTCTCTCTCTCTCTCTGCCTTTCTCTCTCTCTCTCTCTCTCTCTCTCTCTCTCTCTCTCTCTCTCTCTGTGTGTGTGTGTGTGTGTGTGTGTGTGTGTGTAAAACACAAAGGAGACCAGATGATGACATTCATAGGCTTATAGACTGGACTCCTGGGGGCACACTTGGATGGAGGCAATTAAAATGCCTGTCAGGCATTTGGTACCAGAAATCCCTGTGGCAAACCGCTAAATCCTAAGCTGGGACACCATCCTATTGTCAGTGAATGATGGCGGAGCTGAGAGGCTTGTCATCATTCTCGAAAATTCTGAGCCTAGTGAGCTCTCTCTCCCTCTCCTATTTGCCTTATTTTCCTTTCCGCCACTGCGGGGACTTTTTTTAATTTGCAGCTTCCCTTTCCCTGGCACACACAGACACGAGCTGGTGGCTTTTCAGACTGCGTCTGTCTGGAGCGAGAGAGACACAGCAGAGGGAGTGTTCTTGGAGGAGGGCTCCGCAGCAGGTCCACCGGACTCGATTCAGGGGGCATTGCTGCTTATGCACTGGTAATGCTTTAAAGGCTTTCACATTCTATTTCCTTTTATTTTTCATCCACTGTTTGAAAGGATCTGCTTTAAGTGGTCTTGGATTACCGAGCTTTAGGTACGTTATTGAGCTTAAAATTCAAGGGCTGTGTTTATTGTACTGCGGACTCCAGGTGGTGGATTTATTATCTCGATGTAAGAAATGAATGGACCTATTGGTGAGTTACTATTTTTGATATTTAGTTGACAAACCTATATGTATATATGTGTTTTCTTTTGTTTTGTTTCTCTAGATTCTTCAGCTTGTCTCTACCAGAGGAAGCCCTGATTGGGAACCACTCAATCAGCAAATTAAAAGGTACTGCATGTTTTATTTCAGTGTTTAAACGGGGAGATATTGAGAAATAACTAGAATGTATTTATTTAGGTTTATCTCTTTATGGTCGGTCTTTTATCCCAGAGTCCATGCTGATCATTGTCTATAAGATGTAGGATTTCTTATGCATATTATACCACCAACCAAGGCTAATTAGAACAGAAAGTATCTAAAGAAAATATGTCTTTTGTCTGCGTTGCAAATTATTAAGAAATACCAACCTGTCTACTTCATTTGTATTGTTTGAATTTTGTCATTGTGACAATTAACAAAATGTCTGAAATTCTGCATCACAAAGAAAATGTATTCTTTTGAATTGAATAGAAATGTGTTAAAATGATTTTAGCTAAAGATTTCCTATGGATCCGTGGTTTTGTTTTGTTTTGTTTTATTTAAACATTCTAAATAAAATGGTTCACTCTTTGTAGATGGGATGAGTACTGGAGACTGAAGCCCAGGGATGACTCAGTGTTGTTAGCTTTTGTGAATAAAATACTGTAATTTCTTTTAGGATACAGCAAGGGAAAATTTTAAAGTCAAAGATGATTAATTCTTAAAAAGAATTTAGTATCATATGCTTTATTCAGACTTAATAGCATAAAAAGGAACCCTCTCTCTTGCTATGAAAGCAATTGGATCCATTGATCTGGGCCTTATGCCTTACATGAAAAATATTAATTTTTAAATTTGGCATGAGAATGTATATTGATTTGAAAAGGCAATTATGGATACTGTCTACCTTTTAATTCTTTAACATTATCTTTGACTTTAATATATGTTCTTGTCCATAAATCCTATATAGTAGTCATTTGTCTGTTAAAAAGAAATGGAAGACATTTTCTGCCTTTCTGAGAAGAGACCAACACCACCCCCTATACCTTCTCTTGGCATCTCTATAGCATTTCCCTTCAAGGCTGCCAGTTTTAAGTATTTCGTACAGAATGTTTAGCATTTTAAAAGCTGTAATTTAAGAAATGTTCAAGACAGCCACCCTAAGAGTGAAATACCATAGTTGTGTAAGTGTACACCATGAATGTGAGTATTTGCAGCTGCTGAGGGAGACTAGTACATTGTCCTTGGTTAATTTTCTCTGCAATGTGTTATCACGAGTGACTTAATTTATTCATTCCACAAGCATTGCTGGCGAGCTTGGCTTCTGTGGGTAGTTCCAGTGCAAGAAAGGGGAGAGACAGATGACACTGTCCGCAGGCTTCCAGAGCGTAGGCTGAGCCACGTATGATTTTTGAACCGGAGAACAAATTTCTCTAAATAAGTTAGTGTGCTCTCAGTGGTTAGTGGTTTCAGGTATCGCATACATTCTGGTGGACTGGTGTTAAAGACAGATGCAATGATTATGCATTTTTGTTTTTGTCTCAGAAATTATTCAGTAGGACTGTGTGTGTAAGCCTGAAATAAGACTCATCACCCACCCACCCGCCTCCCCCTACACCCCCAATGCTGTAAAACCCTTGAGATCATACAGCAAATGGGAATGTTTCATGTTTGGTGAAAATTATCTGTTATTTTCTTATCTGACCAAATCCATGTAGAACACACACACACACACACACACACACACACACACACACACATACACCTCCCACACGGTCTGATTCTTAGCTTTCAGATGTATGGGGAACTTGTATGTATTTTAAGCTTTGGGGTATCTGTGCTAATTGAAAAAGATGAAATTATCATTGTCCTATTCAACAAAAAGTCTGCAATACACTGTCAATATGAACTGCACCACCTCATTGTGATGTCTAGGCATTTGAAAGGTGGCACATGTCCACCCTATTGCCTCCTCTGTCAGGGCCATTTTGAAATCATCTAGTCAGGATGAAGATGGACTCTATAGTAAGACCCAGCTCGTTAGAATAGGTGTTAGTGAGTCAAATCCAAATAGACCTAGCTCTGGGCTCTAAGGCAGGTCTGAGTGCCATGGTGACTAATCAATATTGTCTGCATAGTTGTTAACTTCTTTACTGAATTTTCTCCCAGCAATTTTATTTGTAACACATAGAATAGTAGCCAGATGACAACAGTTTAATTAATATTCATTTATTTAATCCCTTAATTTGTAAATGAATTTGTTATCTCTCCTTTTTTTATTTTGCTTTTCATGTGATGACACATTAAGAATGAATTTGATATTTTGGGTGTTTAGTTACCTAAAATTTGCATGTATGTGTCCTGTTATTAATGTATTAATGTTTTGTGGTGTTAGGGTTTGAACTGAGAACCCTAGAAATCCTAGGCACTGGCTCTAGCACTGAGTTATGGTGCCAGTTTCCAGTTACTAATTATCAGATGAATAGTTTTGGTAGAAAAGGAAAGCTATGTGTCAAAATTTCTCCCGGTTATGTGGGAAATGATTTTTCTGGATTTTGGTTAAAGTGAAAAAAAAATTCAGTTTCATCGGAAGGAGAGGAAAAGGCAAACTGCGGCCTGGGCTTTGCTATGGGCACTTCCTACACAGTGCTGCCAGGCTCCCTCTGCTAACCGCACTTCAAGTCTCCTGCCAAGCTTCTGCAGTAGCAGGGGGACAGAGGACTTCATTGCCTGATTGTTCTGCACACTCCATGCTAAAAATTATAGCATATGAACAAGAAAATACTGAAGAGTAGATGATGTAAGCAGAATGATGGTGCCCCTATAATCTCAGCATCCAGGAGACTGAGGCAGGAGGATCACCTGTTTTAGGTCACAGTGAGTCAGGGCTACATGGTTAGAAGTGATGTCTAAAGCAAAAACAAACAAAAGTAGACAGAGTTTCAGTCTCTATGTGTAAAGGCTCTGTAAAGGAACTTCTAGAATCATAATTTTAGAGTATGACCTTTATTTGAATCATTTGCTTTTGTTAACCAGAACTATCACCATCATTTGGTATTATTAACTATCTGCCTGACGTTATCCTAAACTCTTATCATGTGATACCCATTTAGCTCTCTCTGTAACCCTCAGATTACAGATAAGGTTTCTTTGTGTAGGTTCATAGACAAGGCTGACTTGGAACTCATAGAGATCCTCCTGCCTCTGCCTCCTGAGTGCTGGGATTAAAGGGATGCACCACCACTGCCTGGCTTGTTTTCATACATCTTATATGATATATTTAATTAGGAGCAATTTCTTCAAAGAAGGCTGTCAGATAAACTTGTACATTTTTTAAATGAATTAATGATAAATTTTTCTTGTCGTTTTCATGGGTTTTTGTGATTGGTTGTATAATCTGTATATGAACATTAGAGAATTCAAGAGCAATATAACATAACTCACATCATATTTTAAAAACTTTTAAAGCTGAAATAGTCACAAAAGATTTGAGTGTCTGAAATCAATAAAGTGGATAGGTGTTTGGTAAACATTGTGAACAATACCCTAACTCAAGGACAAGTTACCCATAAAAATCACCAGGGAAAAACAGATATGTAGTATGTATTAAGAGCCTCTTCTTGTGAAAGAGTGTCTTCAACAGAATAGCTCCTGGGGTTAGCTGGTGCAGTAGGAGCAGGAATGAGAAGCACAAAGCATCATTTTAGATGCCCAAAGAGCATTGATTGTACCATTCTGGACATGTAATTTCCTCAGGGACTTTGTTGTATGGAGTTTGCACACAAGGCATTTGCGGTGAAATCTGGGGATGGGAAGTGCTCAAGGGGTACAGTGCACTGGAGGTGCTTCCAGAAAAGCAAAGATTAACATAAGCAGTGAAGGAATTGGCCAAGCCTGGGAAGCACAGATGGATCTCATATGGCCTAGAATATAGATCAGATCAAGGGAACTCTTGGAAACCAAGAGTGGGAGACGAGAACATGAATACTATGAGGCTGTACCATATGAAACGTCTATTCTCCCCTTTGAAATAGCAAAAATAAAAATGTCATTCAGTTGAAGAAGTTTTCAAAGAATACATTGAATTTGTTTTTGTGTGGTTTAATTATTATTCAATAGGAAGATATTTTTCAGCAGAGGATAACTAGGACCAAAGTTATTTCAGATTGTTTATCTAACAGCTCTGGGTAGGACTGTTAAAGAGAGCATGTTGCACTAAACATCCTTTTCGATGCTGTCATAGTGGAATGAAAGGACCAAAGAGCATTGGTTGTAGATATGAAAAAAAAAAGGTCATGAAAGAAAAGATGCTCCTGATCCCAAAATTATATTCAGATACAGCAGCTGATCGACTGTTGGAGGAAAGAAAAGGCAGAAGAGCTATTCACAGGTGACTTCAAAGTTTGAAACTGGCAGAAAAGTGACTTAGAGAAAGGTAACCGAGAGCTACTTTCAGGAAGGAGTCCTCTTTTAATTGTGCCTTGAATTTATAGAAGACATAGCCAATTAATGCTAAGTGAGTGAAAGAATGTGTGTTAAAATATGAGGATGTGAGGGACATGAAGGATGGACAATGGGTGATACGGATGTGGGAATGGATGGGGTAGGGATGCTCCAGAACACATAGATACAAGATGGAAAAAGAAAGGTCTGGAGGATGTGGCTGATGTCACCAAGCAGAACCAAAGAGAAGCACCCTCCTCACACACCCAGAATAAAACAGGAATTGGCAACGCAGAAGGAAGAATTAGAAGACAAACAAAAAATAACCAAGGAGTGTGTGGCAAATGTGTTAGAAGACAAAACTAACACTTGGGTCCTTCAGAAGGAATAAGGAATAAAATACTTCAATCAGCCCACATTTTATAAAACTTTATCTAAGTCCACATTTTATAGAAGAGACATGATGCTCACCCATGATTTTATGATGGCTAGGTAGTGGCTAATATTTGATGGACATTTTATCTCCTTTTTGTTCATTCCATTGCATTTAAATTTACATAATCAGGGTCAGAGAACACATAATTGAATTTTGTCCTTTTCCCGTTCATCATGATCTTAAGAATCTTATATTTTCTCACTTGCATAATTTTCTGACACACATTATCTTTGTTCACCATGATTTCCAGTTTGCTGTGGTCATCATAACG